AAAGAAGGGAGCAGTTTTCTAAATAAATAAAAAGGCTGCCATTGGAATGCGAGCGATTGGAAAGGGACGGTGCGCTCTGGTGAAACTGTCAAGCTATTAGGGGTTACCTCAACCAGTAACGGGTCCGCCCTTTCGCCAGTATGTACGAGCTGCCTCCAGGAGACTCCGAAACTCGTGGCATGCTTGAACTAATAAGTTTACAAACACAACGGCCTAAAAATAAATACACTGTATTTGCAAACACTTCAACTGCCAAGTGTAGTCTCTGTATTGTTTGTTACTCGCAAACAGAACCGCCAACTTTGCATAATCCAAGCTTTAATGAATGACGTCACCGTTATCAGCACAGACCGTCACAAAACTCCACAGCGTGAAAGAAAACGGCCAAAAAACAAAGTTTTTCACAGATATAAATGTCGGTTCATGATTTTTCTCGAAAACAACTTTCAAAGCATTTTATTTACAATTAGCCCATGTAAATTTTGCTGCTGAAACGGGAGTTAACGTTGATTGAAGTTTGAAATCATAAAAGTGCCGATTTCTCGGTGTTCGGTTTTTGGCAATTACCGTTGACCTAATTTTAAATGGCGTTTCAGTGAATAGCGCTACGATGTCGCCGTTTAGCTTTTCTTACTCTTTGATATGTTGGCTTCATATCCGTATTTGCATATTTGCAAAATTCTATTGCGTTTTTTTTTCACAAACCTCGCGCAAACCAACGGTATACTCTAACTTTAACACCAAAAAACGTGCTTTAAATTTGTGTTTTTCGGAAAGAAAAAAAAAACTTAATGCAAAAAATAGAAATACGGATTTAAACTTCATATCCTTTGCTTCGAAACAGTGTAAAGTTTTTGATCGCATGAATGACTGTAGAGATGACAATTAAAATTTTATTCACGTTAGTTAAATTATCAGCCCCGCTGATTTTCAGAATCACGTGACGCTAAAACAAACACAATGTTCACAAAATATTAATAATAGGAAAATACAAGTCAAGAGCTTTCCAAACATATATAGATTGTATGGTTTCTTGTAAAATTTATTCCGATTATAGGTGTTTACATTTTTCATGCAAAAAAACTATCCTGCTACCTTAACCTGATGTTCACCTGTCACCAATGTGTTAACCCAATGCTAGCTTTGTATTAAATCTGAGTATTATTGCAATGACATAACTAGCATATGTATCTTGATTCACAAATTGTCATTATCATCTTATTTTTTATTGCAGTTGCAGTGAACAGCACAGAAAGAGTTGGAAAAATACATGTATCAGAATTGTATTCAATAAGATGAAGAAAATGCTGTATGAAAATATTAAGAAATGTTTTTTGAACATGATGAGTCCTTTACTACAATCATTTTGAATCATAAGTGTCGTGAATAACTTTGATTATTATGGAAATGATAATTGTAACATATCCCGTTGAACAATCTGAGAAGAGTCTTGAGTCTTCAGGTCCTTCCAGTCAGCAGATACAACAAACACATTCAAATGGGAAGCCTTATCAATGTGAATATTGTGAGAAGGGTTTTTCACAATCGTATACACTCAAGCGACACAGGCAAACACATATCAATGATAAACTATTTTATTGTAAACAATGTGAGAAGAGTTTTGCCAGTGCAGGTACTCTCAAAGTACATATGCTTACACATACAAAGATCAAGGCTTATCATTGTGAACATTGTAATAGGAGTTTTGCTCGGTCAACTCATCTAAAACAGCATAAGTTAACACATACCAAGGAGAAGCCTTATCTATGTCAACACTGTGGGAATAGATTTGCCAGATCAGATAATCTGAAACGACATATAGAGACACATACCAATAAGAAACCATTTCCTTGTGAATATTGTGAGAAGAGTTTTTTCAAGTCATGTAATCTAAAACATCACACACGAACACATACAGGTGAGAAGCTCAATCATACAAATGAGAAGCCTTATCATTGTGAATATTGTAATAGGAATTTTGCTCGGTCAACTCATCTGAAACAGCATAAGTTAACACATACCAAGGAGAAGCCTTATCTATGTCAACACTGTGGGAATAGATTTGCCAGATCAGATAATCTGAAACGACATATAGAGACACATACCAATAAGAAACCATTTCCTTGTGAACATTGTGAGAAGAGTTTTTTCAAGTCATGTAATCTAAAACATCACATGCGAACACATACCAATTGGAAGTCTCATCAAACAAATGAGAAACCTCATCATTGTGAACATTGTAATAAGAGTTTTGCTCGGTCACATAATCTAAAATTGCATAAGTTAACACATACCAAGGAGAAACCTCATCTATGTCAACACTGTGGGAAGAGATTTGCTAGATCAGATAATCTTAAACAGCATATACACAGACATCTTAAGAAACCATGTCATGTAATCTAAAACAGAACATGCAAACACATACGAAGCGAAGACCTATCATTGTAAATGATGTGAAAAGAGTTTTTCTCAGTTGAGTACTTATGAACACCATAAGGCAACACATTGGTATGAGAAGCCTTATCAATATCAATTGTGGGAAAAGTTTTGCTAGATCAAGTTGTCTCAAACGGCATATAAAAACACACACTAATGAGAGGCTAAATCATTGTGAGACGAGTTTTGCTAATTCAGGTTATCTAAAAAGTCATATTATAACACATACAAATAAAAAGCCTTATCATTGTCAACAATGTGAGAAGAGTTTTTCCAGAGAAGGTACTCTCAAAAATCATATTCAAAGAAAACATATTTGTACCAATAAAATGCTGTATTGTAATTTATGTGATATAAGTTTTAATATTTCTTGTAACCATGAATTTCATAAGCAAACTTACGCCATTGAGATGTTAGGAACATTAATAGATATAAAATGCACAGTTCTTCAAAAAACTATATTGAAATACATCTTACTAAAAAAAGATAATCTAGAACATCACCTCTATAAATAAGCAAAAAGTTATTGAGACATAAAATTCAGTAACTCAGTTTTAACTGTCGTGAGTGGATATATAATCTATTATCCAGTCAAAAACATTAATTATTCACAGAGGGAGGAGCACACATAGATGGGGAAATAATAAATTATATAAAACAGTCGCACTTAACAGACATACGAGTGTTCAAGTGAGAAAGGACAGAAGAACCAAAGTATTATACATGATGAGACATAATGATATGAAAGAATTCAGATTATACAGTTCAACTCATTAAATACTTAGCTAGAAATTGTATTGTTAACCCAATCGTGAGCAAATTGAGAATTACGGAACTTTTTCAGTAATAAGTTTATGACAGGCATTTCGTAACTGCCTTTATTGTTAGAGTACTTGCATCAATTGTATTGATATGATCGCATACAAATTTTCAACGAAAATTACCAATTGTTTCTTTTATCTTTCTACTAAAACATGTCATATATTTTGTTGTCGAGGGTTGTGGGTGTATTTTTTTTATTGTATGTATGTTATTAATCATGAAGTACAAACTGTTATTCATATAAAGCAAAATTAACTTTTATTGCCATAGTGTGGCATTATACTGCTATTATGTTAGGTGTGTATTATTCTGTTATGTAATGAGGTATTATTAATAAAGTAATCATCAGTAAAACAATATTCAGTTTGTTGTATATTGCTCGTTCAAGTTTTTAATATAGAAGATGAAACCACGTCTTGAGGCCGCTCATAAACTTGTACTTGTAGAATGACTGTACTACCTGTTAAGAAACTGCAACTATGAATTCACATGTAGTAAGAAATTAAAATAAATGAAGATATAATTATTCAGTATAAAGAAAGATTCCAGTACAATCTTTCTCATGAAAAAAATACAGGGACATTGTCATTCAACCATAGCATTGGCCCCAATCAACATCATGCTGCAGCTTACTGTAGGCCACAATGCTAATGTTACTTACTGCGATAAAACAACGTTTACGTGCGACTCTGCAAACATATATGATGTGTCATAATACAAATAATAATACCGGTAATCATTGTGCTCCCCCAGAGTACATACATACACACATATATATATATATATATATATGTATATGCTATACATGAAAATCATGGCATTCCCCCCTGCTGATAAAACTGTCATTGATATTGTGTTTGTTTGTTTGTAGGATGTTTAATCAAGGAAAATGTTTTTTCTGATGCATCTGGCAATTCTGCCTACAAACTATCTACATTCAAATAAAGATGAAATTCATAACAATATCAAGGATTTTCACTTCCGGAAACAGCCCACCTAGATTGCTTGGAACACCATATAGAACCAGATTCATAGCGGATTCATGTAAATGTTCAACAAATAAACTTACTTTGAACTTAATATTTGTTTTTGTTTTTACCATCAATGATGTTATACTTTCCAGGAGTGGTATTAAACAAATTCTAAATAACTTATGGACAATTCTAGCGCTTTCTAATATTCTGCTATCAAGACATTTCATTGCCCAACAGTCTGTACTTCCATACCATATGACAAATTAAAATTATGCTTTGAAGATATCATCCATCAAGCGTTTAAAACAATTTTTCACCATGATACGAACATTGTAACAGGCTAATATCAGGTCAATTCAAAGCTAGCATTAATATTTTGACTGTTTTAACAAATGGGTAAGTAAGTATAACCTTTGGTTGGTAGTATTTAGTAAGCTTTTAAAATAGCCGATTTATCAGTGTCACACAAGAATTGCTGTTAGGTCTAATCTGTTTTTATTCTATTTCAAATGACATTAATAGGAATACAGATAGTACTGCTCTGATTCAACACTATCGGACCTTCAAGAAAACAGTGAACGTTCTACATTAATTTGCTGAGTTTGTAGTTTACAAACTGTGACAACGTCGGGTAACAAATAGAGGCTGAGGAAAAATGTTATTATGCCCAAGGTGATCATGTGACCTATTATTCTGGCTGTGTGTTTCATTTCTGACACTTTTATTTTCGTTTTTATATAGATATTTTAATAGTCTTTTTTCATTTGTAATCGCCATAATAGTATAAACTATATTAGTTCGTGCATATGTAGATAATTCGCGCACATTGTAGTGTTAGGCACTTCTGAACGTCAAGGTTGGGTCAGGTTTTGAAGTTGTCAACTGATGGTCAACCTCGAGGTTGAATCATGAAATCGTGTTCATTCAAATATTGAATAAAGTCAGCCTGACATCAAACAATATGTAATCTTGCTTGTGTACTAAATTTCAAACCGACTCTGTGACAGTGAATCAGGGGTTATGACTTGCAAACAAAAGGCAGCCAGTCAGCCATTATAGATCAAATTGAAAACGAAAATGACTCGTGACAAATACATGAACAATATCTACCTGAGAAACTGGTATATACTTGTAAAACACTGAATAGAGAATCTGATTATGGGTCACATCTACAAGAAATCATGCTTAGATACATCTATAAGCATTTTGTAAACCAGCATTGTCTTAGCTACATAACTGTGGCATATTTTGTAAACTGGCATTATTTTAGCTACATAACTGTGGCATATTTTGTAAACTGACATTGTCTTAGCTACATAACTATGGCATATTTTGTAAACTGGCATTGTCTTAGCTACATAACTGTGGCACATTTTGTGAACTTACATTGTCTTAGCTACATA